TGAGGACAGTAATGAGATCACTCGCGAATTCACACACCAATGTTACAAAGTAGGCAAAGACGGTCTGTATCATTGCTTTCAGGACTGGGTGAAAAGGCATAACAAATGTTTACAAAGTGCTGGTAACTACTTTGAAGGATTAAAATTGATGGAAGAATAATAACAGTTACTCTGAACATTAATGAATATACTTAATGAAATCATACAACTTATACATTATGTCACATATTCAGCAATGAATACAGTGTCTTAACATCATATAAAATTACTGTAGATTTTGGTATTTGTATTATTTTTGGTATTTTTCCGAGCTCCACCTTGTCGCGTCACCAGTTACCATGGTAACAAAAATAATAGGATTATGATGTCATAAAACAATGAAATTTTCATGGTATGATCCTATATATCTGGGTAATATTGTGTGAAAAAATCACTATGAAAGGATGCAAAATGGCAAAAATAGAGCCAATGGTCCAGAAATTCCTGATCACCCCTCGTAGTATACACAAGATTGTCGAGGCAATAATCAATGACGTGTATTAACTTATTCAAGCAAAGACTTACGTCATGGCTCGGATTCCATGAATTACAATATGATGTAAATCAAGTAGCTAGGCAAATGGGATTTTACTAAACTATATGACAATAAACATCAACTGTGTCCAGTTCACAATTTATAGTTTACTAGGAAAGAAAATATTAGAAATATTTAGATAAACAACTGAATTGTTCCTAAAAGCAGAACTGATGCGATAAATTAAAAAGTTTGAATTATCAACATACCAGTTATTCCGCTGTCTTATTTTCCTTCGACACACAATCTACATTTTTACATTCACTTTAAAACGTCTTTGTCAACGACCTACATGTAAAAGCTTTGGCACATAGCATGTCGTAAACGGTTTACTTGACGAGGAGGTTTGTTTAATATTATGCTTGTTAGGTCCCCTTTACTTTTAATTCTCAATGGCTCTCTTTTAATTCTTTGAAATCTTAGTAAATAAGTGCATTCAATTTTTATTTGTATTAAAGTGTGTGTCTATAACGAAAATGGGTAGTTCGGAGAATATAACATGAATACACGATCGATGGGGCCCTTAAAGGGTAAATACAAGATTCAAATTTTGCCTTTATTTATTTATTGATTGATTGATTTTTATTTTGTATGTATTTATCTATTTACTAATATCTAGTTATTTAATTATTTCACACTACGAATGATCACTGTTGATCAAATGTGGTGACAGGTGTCCATGTGCAATAGCATTGTGATAAAACTGAATTGTTGAACTCATAATTCTAAGAAACCCTTCGGGAGCCCCATTCTCGAGACAAGCGCTCTTAAGTTCTTGACTACTGTAATATACCTTTAAAATAGCACAGAGAATTATTTACATAAGATTTGTATCGTGTTTTAATAAATAATTTTAAATAGTTCTCTGTGTAAAATGGTAATTTTATGACTCGTATATATAAATTGCCCTTTAGTTTAAAATGATACTTTTCTCAAACCATAATGTTACGGAATAATATAAGCCTAGTCTATCAGAAGGAAAAATTAGGTCGAAAAAATGAATCGATTTTCAAAGGCGTCGGGTCATGGGTCAAATACGATGATGTAGGGACCGGATATATGAATTTCATCAAGTAGCCAGTTTAAAAAATTCGACATCCGGTGGCTCATAAAATATAAAATAATTCTTACCAGAGTTTGATCCAAAATGGGTCTGAAATCTCAATTTCTCTTCTTCGCTGTCTGAAATCTATTTATTGATTTCCTGGTTGGAATCATGGGATATCATCGTGAAAGTTCGTTCAGTGCGCTACAACTATTCCCCGGTACGATGTTATATCAGTTTCTATTTATTGATTTCCTAGTTGGAATCATGGGATATCATCGTGAAAGTTCGTTCAGTGCGCTACAACTATTCCCCGGTACGATGTTATATCAGTTTCTATTTATTGATTTCCTAGTTGGAACCATGGGGTATCATCGTGAAAGTTCGTTCAGTGCGCTACAACTATTCCCCGGTACGATGTTATATCAGTTTCTATTTATTGATTTCCTAGTTGGAACCATGGGGTATCATCGTGAAAGTTCGTTCAGTGCGCTACAACTATTCCCCGGTACGATGTTATATCAGTGTTGTAATAGATTTTATTTTAATGCTCGTAACAAAATAATTGTATCCAGCATGTATGATACAACATGATGAGAGACAAAATGAAGGTTGACAGGCATGACTTCAATATTAACAAAATCGTTCCATCACCCTTTGAGTAGATTTTCAACTAAATGAATATCCCGTGTAATTTTTGCATAAAAGACACATTAATATTAGAGTTTTCTATGTTGTCACAAACATATTGTAAACCCGGTTTGCAATTAAAAAAGCTTGTGCCCACACGGAACATATTATGTAAAATAAACGATATTGGGCTAATGGTATCATATGCAGTGGCGTATCCAGGGAGGGGGGGGACTGTTGGCCAAAAAGGCCTTAAGCCTCAAATTCTTATTCATCTGATGTAAAGTTTAAAGGTGCAAACAACAAATTAAAGTTAATGCTTAAACTAGAGAATGTTTGATATGACCCCTTTTCTCCTGAATTACAAGTTGAAGCCTGGGACTCAGTTTTGAAATGATTCATTCACTTTGCTGTTCGTTTGATTTTGTCCAAGCCATCTTGATAAAAAATTCAGCTTGAACAAACTACTTATGTTTGTCTTGGAAGATCGAATATATGAACATATTCAACATATTTTTACCCAAATTGATGGGTATCAAGCATATTTTGATGGCTATTGTTGGATATATTACTGATTGAATATTCTCCAGAAAGAGGCCAGGGCAGTCTGTTTTGACTGGTAAATGATCCTACCTCCCCTTTCTTGTTCTAATATGAATAATATTCATTTAATATATCAATATATCAATATCATAAAGGAGTTTCCCAGAACACAAATGATATATTATGTGTGCTTAGAGGTGGTCTTTATTGAAGCCTTGTAAATAACTAGTCAGTTTCCCCTCTACTGAAAAGTGGAAACAATGATTTTGTCAGTTTAATAGCTGTACGGGTTATGCAATCACTTACCTCTGACATGTTCTTCCTTTCCTACTCTTAAATAAAAATAATGATTTGGGGTATTCTTAAGTTGACAATAACACAATAGTTTTCCAGTAAACCATATATGTTAATACCTCATGTCAACTAAATAGGATTTTATAAAATGTGTATAGCAATCAACATGTTCATTAAAGCTTTGAAATAAAGAATACTTGAAAAAGTAGCTGCGAAAGTGTATATTTAAGAAAAGGGGGTCATATCAAACATTGACTATTTAAATGCATTAACTTTGTGGTTTGGACGTATAAACTTTACATCAGAGAAATAAGTGACCGAACTATCCTCAGTAATATTTTGGTGCATTTTAGAGGAAAAATAAAGGTTTTGTGTTCAATTAACAAATGTTCCAATTTTTTTGGACCACCCTGTATTTTTCAAATTGTATTGTTACCATTCAAAAGATGACCATTAAATTGACGATGTGTTAAATTTTTAGATTTTTTTTATGACTGGGTTAAGAGAAACGAGTGTTAAAAAAGTTCTCCATATCGATACCACTCCCTTCATAGTAAATTAATGTTTCTTTTGGGGAAATCCTGACCGGGGGTTCGTCCATATGCTGTTTTGATCTTATCTCAATTTACATACTAGTTCAACCTCGGATTTATATGTATTAGTTCAGAGAATTAGTTTTCGCAAGATTTTTTATGATAATCTCGAACGTCTCTAAAAACCACTGGAACCAAGAGAACTGCGCAAGTTTTTACATCGTAATTTAAGTAAGCAAAACAGTCGCGTGACTTTTTGGTACATTTGTTTGATTCATGTATTTCTGTAAATGAAGTGACATGAATGTTGTATGTCTTCTTCTAAACACTATTTTAGATATATCAAATTATCATCGTTTCTATGGTAACTAGGTTGAACACGATCTACATAACATTAAAGTCCCCCAGGGGACAATATGGCGAACCAAGTCATTTGAAATACTAGAAGCAAGTCAGTAGCTATTCCTACATATTATTTGGACTGTTACAGCGTTTGAAAATATATAAACTGTCCCTTCAGAGATTTTTTTCAAAATTTTGCAAATAGGTATGTTGATTTAGCGACGTAAAAACTAACAGAGATTGTGGGATAAATTTGCATCATTTCACTGGCGTTAAACGTTACTTGGGCATGCCAATCCGTAACGTACACGTATATCTATGGAGATTTGCTGAATTTTATTTATTTAATCTTTAATTTGATATATTTCCCAGCACGAATGATGTGAGTGGGCTTTTATTGGTGGAAATTGGTAAGACACGTATATTAACAAAGGTTTTTTAAAAGAATTCAGACAATTTATCAACTCATTTTACATCTAGGGAACAAAAGCATCATGATTTCGTAGCACCAACCTCACAGCAGACCATAACGCTTTTGTAATTAGAAATAAAACAATTTGACAAATCGACGAAAATCTTTTGACAAACCCTTCTTATATTTCTAATATTATATTTTACCAATCTTCTATATGAAAAAAGCACACTAACACCATTTGTGGTTGAAAAATATATCAAACAAATGATCTAAAAATTTTACCAAATTACCATAGATATATTATATATGCATCTTGATCTTATCGTTACGGAGCAGTATGTCGAAGTTACGCCACATTGAACGTGCATTTGTGAATAGATCACTAAAAAAGGTAATGCAATATTTTATTTTGCGAGTTGATACATTAACTCCAGTAAAAACTTCATAAATGTTTTTGTCATTAGCTCTTAAATTCAGCACTCTTTTCCAATAGGTTATCCTTGATGTACTTCAAAAAATACACAACTGATAACAGTGGCGGATCCGGCATGGGCCCCGCCAATGTAGGGCCTCAGAAAATGGACCTTTTGGGGCATAAGTTAGCCTTCTCAAAGAATGGACCTTAACTTTTCAAAATTTTGGGTTTTAGGGCCCTAAATTTTTTCAGAATTTTTTCCAGACTCAAAAGTTGCGCCCCCCTACTGTTAATTTCTGGATCCGTCACTGTGATTAGGTCGTCAGTATATATAGTTTAATCTAGTCTTAGCTCCGGTCAGACGAATCACCAGGTGACCGTGGAATAATGTTTATTCCGGCCTTCCGTCCTATCTAGGAATCTCAGTTGTATTGGTTTTTCCGGTGAAAGAACGATAGCCATTTTATCATCGATTGGGATATCATTAAAAGGCTTTATTCGGAATCTTTGCAGAACCTAAATCAAACAAAACATTGTAGCCGTATTTAGGGGGAACTATTAAATGCACTGTTCAAATATATACGTGCGATGAGAACTAAAAACATGACATAACAACGGGAAACGACGAAACGGATACAAACGCAATTTTTGCTTCAGATATCAAAGCCCATTTCAAAGTAAGATCCAATTCTCAAAAAAGGAAACATATGCCTTTGTTTACTTGTTTTCCTATCCACAAAATGAATTTGACGACTTATGACTCAGAACGGGAAAATATGATAATTTAAGAACAATTTCCAAAAAACACCTTACCCTTGTTATAATGAGGTACATCTCGAGTTCAGCTACTCGCCGTCCTATATTAAAATCAAATCAATTGTCTTCTTGAAAAACATTTTCGATGGTTTATTACCACTTTCTGCACCATTCAGTAATTCTATCGTTTGAGATATCTCAATATTGATTTTAGATTTTATAAAAAAGACTATAGGCAAACATTAGCACAAGTTTTCGAAAAATAATTTGTCTCGTATTCTGTTTCTATTACTGCCATATATGTCCTGTGTTTGCGTAAAATGTGATACATGGTATACGTTAGTTGTACACCTACCTACACACATGCGCACTCCATACCCAAACGGAATTGAAGCAAATGGGCTATATGGAGCTTTGTTACTGCCAGCTCGCAACCAACGCTCGGGTTTGAACTCCAATGCATCCTCAAAGATAGCCTCGTTACGCCCCATAGAATATAAACAAACATTGACAAGTTTCTACAAAAGAAAAGCGAGGAATATGCAAATATTTCTTATACTCCTAATTATGATCTAGCGTAAAATATTATCGATATTGCTTTATATTATTGTTATGATATTGGAGGGTATATTAGACTTACTCCTTTTGGTATATTATAGCCTCTAATTGTGATGTTGTCAGGGGTAAATCTACTAACCAATGCAGCCACAGGATACAACCTACACATATGGAATCAGACGTTTCAACAAGGTACATCTACCAATGGGTGATACAGAGTGATAATTGATAACAAAAGAACTGAATTCTGAAGACGATTTGGGGAAGAAAGCTCTACGTTCAGAATTTAATAAAAACTTCCAAAAATGCTTGTTTTTAAAGATACACCTTTAACATAAAAGTCAAATTAAAAATGATAAATTAAATGCGAACAAAAAATGAGGAAAAAACAAACGAACGATTTAACAAAAACACACCTCAATGTCTCTTTCACTACAGCTCTCATATACGGAATATGTTGCATGTAATTAGAGACGTCATTGCCAGGGTTCAAATTTTTCACTTCTCTGTAAAGTTTCTCCTGGACATGAGGATTTCGAGCCAACATGTACATAATCCATTGAGCACTAGTCGAAGTCTACAAAAATATTGTGATTAATGAGATTTTAATTGCATTATTGTAATAATGTTATCGTATTGAGCAATTCGTCCCATTGCATGTATCTAATTAACCACAAGGAACATATATCCAAAACCCCGTTTAACCTTTGATTCAGTATAGAGGACAAGTGCCTGCAAATATCATACCATACAGTTAGCAAACATGGGTTTATTTCATCTGTTCACCAAATTGAAAGTGATCCGGATTTACAGGAAAGGTATTTCCAGTCTCCATTCCATATACGGTACTTACTGTGTCTACTGCGCCGCCCATGAGGTCAACCATTGAGCCAATAAGCCCGGCTTCATCTAAGTTTCCCTTATGTAATATATCAGCAAGGAGACCCTCGTGTTTCTTGCCATTTTTGCTATGTTTGCGGACTTCATCTATCTTCTCCTTGATGAACTTTGTAGCTACAAAAGTACTAATTATTAGATGAATAGATGCAATAATTAAAAGGTAAATTTTGTCACCATATGGAGAATTAAATGTGGCATACCCCAAACAACAACAAAGAATCAACAAAGACAGTACTATTCAATACAGATTTAGTGTTTTATGACTCTGAAGAACTGCGGTTCAGGAGTTTGATGGAATATTTTCCGTTTTTTTCTAAAGGTCTCAGAACTCGATCTAACTATTTATCTAGACGGCTTCGCATTAATGGGTCAGGATTAACCATCCAAAAGTCTCTACCCCATCGTGTTGTCGATGTTGTGGTCTACATAGCTGTTGACGTTTTTGATACTTAGCCTAGATGAGCTCATGATGTCAGCTGAAACTTGTTTTCAATTTTACCTTTATTGTTGCAACGAACAGCCTACATACATATAGTATATTAGTATCGTTTTCAGAAGTCGTGCAATAAACCCTCCAAGTGTCCATTGTCATATCTGAACTGACAAATGAGATTAACAAAATTTCAGATGACATGGTTGAAATTTAAAGTTGCTGAACTCTCTGGTGATCTATCAACGCTAAAATCAGAAATTAGAAAAGTATTTGTTTAGAATGAAGTCAAAGTGATGGATCAACTGACATCCATGGAGAGTAAACTAAATAACTGGGATGTAAAAATGCTCACAAAATATAT